ACCGCTCGAGCGTGAGCCTCATTTTCAAAGAAAATGTAGCCGGCGCCGAGGCGAGAGCGCCGGGGCACCTGGGGGGTCCAACAATAGTAAGTGTTTAATGATTAACATTCAACAACAACCATTTTACCCTCATGCGCGATGTTTCCACACGAAACATGCGACAATCATGATAACCATCCCCATCATGGGGGACTCTTGTTCTACAGCGGGGTCCGTAACCTCCATTCCCAGATCTCCCCCCAATGAGGTCTTGCAAACACCTCCTCCGAGGAATTTCAACATATCCCGCCTCGAAAACACATGCCTGCGCCTTGCTGCGCCGATGCGAGACCGCCAGTGGCGCCCAGCCGAGGGTAAAGTACAAGGAAGCATCGAGCGACAGGATTGCCTTGGTGGGGATGGGAGTTGTCGGCGGCGAGGCGAAGACCTGCCCCTGAATAGAAAGGGCGAAATGGGGAACGTCTTCGTGGAGCAGTGGCGTGGGGGGCCCTTGCACTGGCTGTTTGCAGCACCCTCCGGGGCACAGAACTGCCAGGCCCCCCACTGCTCGTGGGCCAGGCCACCCGGCCCCCCCCCCGCAGCAGAGCCCCCGATTCGGGCCTTCGCTCTCCGAATCGTCCGAAGGCGGGCGCCGGCCTGGCCCCTGGCGGCGCCGCCGGGTGCAACCGCAGCCGGCGCAGGCGCAACGGGCCATCGCCATGACCAGTCCCTCCCGCGCCAGCGCCACCAGGGCACGCCCCACGCCCAGGACCAGGCCACAGCAGCCGCAGAGAGGGCTGCCAAAAGGGAATCGCCTCCGCGATGTCCAGGCGGGCGTCCGCGTGGGCGCAATCATAAAATGTAGCTGGTGAGGCCCCCCGTCCGTGCGCGGTTGCTCCAGCTACAGGCTAGGAGCACCACTTTCTCCCCCGCGCTCTCCAGGCGGCGGCGCAGCCGCGGGGAGCTGCAGGAGTGGACGGCCTGGTGGTGCAAGAGCTGTGATAATACGGTTGGCCCAGGGCTGGGCCTCCTCCCGCGGCTCCAGACGGGCTCGCCCCCCCTCAACCACGACCGCGACGTGGCTGTGGGTTCTCTGGACCTCCCCGCCCCGACCCGTGATCATCCCTTCGAAGATGGGCAGGTCGAGCTTGGCAGCTCCCTCCCCACGCCAATCTAGGCCTTCTAGGGGGGTCGCCCCATCCGGGTGGAAGCCCGAGCCGTTTCCCCCGGCAAACCGCCCCCCCAGATAGAGGAGCAGGTTGGCTCCCCCCCACGATCGAAGGATCCACCGGGAAGAGCGCCAGGGATCCCAAGGCCCACGTCCACAAGCGCTGCCCGGTCGGGGCAAGGCTGTCCCAGCGCCCACGCCGCCCGAGCCGCGCGCCGAGGAGGCCGGCCCGTTGAAGCGGCGTGCCCCCCACCCACCAAGACTGTTTCACGAGGTATGTCGCACTGGCGTCGCAAGCTTCGACGAGCTCCGCCCCAATCTCCGCCGGGCCCCGATGGGGCAACAGGTCCTCCCATCGGCTCGACCACGCTGCCCAAGGCCAGGAGCCCCTGGCGGGGGAGTGGGCCGCTTGACCCTCCGCCCCTGTGGGTGTAGGATCCCCCGAGACGGGTCCTTGCCCTCCCGGCGGCACCCTCGCCCCTGCCGGGTGGCCCTCTTCCGCGGCCCGCTCCTCCCGGATGGTCTCCCGGACGTTGTCGAACACAGTGCCCATGAAGGCCCGCAGGGGAGAGAATCTCCGCCACCTGCCGCCAGACCCAGACCCCCGACGTCATGATTTTTTCATGACGTCGACCCCCCGAGGTCTCGACCCATTCCCCGGGACCGGTTTTTCGTCCTGAGTCGTTTTTTGACGGTCCCGAGGGCTGGTAAGGGCCCCCAGAGGCCAAAAATAGAGAAAAACCTCCCGTCGTGATTTTTTCATAAGTCGAGGGGGTCTGGGGACCCTCCTCCTCCTCCTCCTCGTCCTCCCCCGCCTCCCCTGCAGGAGTGGTGGGGGCACACCAGTCAGGGCTCTGCGGCCCGACCTCCTGCTCCGCCGCTCCCTCTCCACCCGGGGCAGGAGGAGCGGATGGACCGCCAGCGGGGGCAGACTCGCCCCGCCCGGCGTCCTCCTTTGGGGCCGAAGTTCCCCATGGGTCTCTCCCCTGACAGTCCGCCCCGCGGACTGACCCCGCCACCGACTGGAGCTCCCCTTGCGAAGCGCAGTGGGGCCCCTGCACCGGCGAGCACCGATGCTGCTCCCAATGGGCCGCGCCCCTGACGGTCTCCTCCTGGGCGGACACGGTCTCGCCTGGGGAATCTCTTCACGGGCCGGACGCCACCCCCGCGACGGCGACCGCCGCCGCGCCTTCCACCGCGCCCAGGGGCGCTCTCCCTCTGGCCCACCGGGGCCCGGGTTCTGCCACCACCGCGACCGCGATGGGCCACCACCAGATGGCGGGTGCGCGCGCGTGCGCGCGGGAGGAGGGGATGGGGAAACCACCCAACCCCTTCGCAAAAAGGACGAGAGCTGAGCCGCTGCCCAAGCCAGATGGCTACAGGAGAGAGGGAGGAGGGGAGAGGAGGAGAGAGATGCACGGCAGGGGCGACTTATCCCTTTAATGGGAAGACCCCCGCTATAGTCAGTTTAAGACTGTTCGCTCTGACGCGCTCGCGTGCTATTCGACACGTATATTCCAAGGCGTCGATACCCTCCCCTTTGGCTTTCGATCGTACCCCCTCTGGGGTATACCTTCCTTACCTGCCACGCGTAAATGGTGCAGCCCCTAAAACAAGGGAAAAGAGGACGGATGGAAAGGGGAGGGAAAAGGATGGAGCACGGGATTAGCAGCAATGGGGGTAAGAACAACAAGCACGTGGCAGAACCACACAGGCTGATCGGGCGGGTAGACCCGAACGGGCGGGTCAGGACGGCGGGCCCGAGCGGCCAGGTCGAGCAGGCGGTTGCTGAGAGATGTCCTGCGCGAGAGGTCGATTTCGAAATACAATTGAGAGGTCGTATCTGGCGGGAGCCGTTGTCGTTGTAACTCGGGGCCCAACAACGCAGCTTAAGCACGAAGACTTCCGCTGATAAATAACAGGTTGCGGGCCCCGAGGGGGGTCCTTCATTTAAACAAACATCTGTGCACCGGTGAGGGGGGATCAACGACAAATATTCGCCAAGAATGAGAGTTCAACAATCATTTGACCCGAGTGCTCTTGGTCCTGTTTATAGCATGCATCCATCAATGATTTCACTCCCTCAAGGGAAATTGTCTTGCACAAGGGGGCATGACACTCCCTTGCCCAGATTTCCCGCCCGAGGAATTCTTGACAACACCTCTTCCGAGGCACTTCAACATCTTCAGAGCGGGTGGCACAGCTCCCAAAGGAAAGCCGGCAAAATGTGTCGTATCAAATCCGAAATGCGGTCGGCAGCCTGAATAGGATCATCGACTGCACTTCTGACACGGACCGTGTTGTTCAACAGCGAGCCGAAACCTCGCATCTTGATAACACATTCCGCCGTGTCCACAAAATCGTCCTCCGAGCAGTCGCGCGCGGCCTCGAAGCCTCAGTCCGAATAGCACTGCGTAGTCACGTGCGGATGCGATCAAAACTGTTTAGTAGTTTGCAGCGCATTGATTGCACATCAAGAGTGCAATGACCATTGTGTGGGATCCCCGCTGGCGAACATTATTAATATATGAACCGATTGTGGTGTGTGACGGCATGTGCGTACTTGTACATTACACGTGGCAACCATGCTACGCATCTCGTCTTTTGAGTTCCCGCCGACAACTTAAACTGACAGGCAAGCTTGTCCCGATCATGGATTCGTTAAGCGCCATGAGCGGATGCAGTTGTCTATAAAGGAATGTCAGGAGAAACTCGCGAACACGATTCGCTGACCCTGCTATGACACTGATGACAAGTGGCCCCCGCACATGCGATGAACACACAAAACTACAGTTGATTGTGATATCGACGCTGACGCATGCAACTGCACTGACTGATAGTTGGGTTCGCATATAAAAATTACTTACTCACGCCCATGATGTTCGAACGGTGTACGAAAGCAAGGCCCTGTAAAAGCCATTTCACACATAGGCGGACGACGTCATCCGTGCTGTCATTGGCGATTTTCTGGCACGGGCCATAAAATAGTCTACAGTTAGTGACAAGTGATCAGAAAATGACCATCCGCGCAGGCAATGAGCATAAGCGCTCTGCATTCAGATACTCGGCTACACGGGCACGAATGTGATCCTCCTCCTGCCCCCTCATTCTCATTATCCCCTCCTCGTCCTCCTCCTCCTCCTCCTCCTCCTCCTCCTCCTCCTCCTCCTCCTCCTCTGTCCTCCCTTACTCCCCTCCCCATTCACCCTTGTTCTCCTCCTTCTCTTCTTTTTCTGTCCTAGCCTTTCCCCTTCTTCTGCCCTTCATCCTTCTCCTCATCCTCATCCTCCCTCCCGGTCCGTTCTAGAAATCCCCAACCCGAACAGATTGACATCTCTTGGGGTTCATATTTTGCTCCCGCTGGCTTGTGCTGCCCTTCCGGAACCTTTTGCTGGCGGAGTGGCCCTGCTTCCGACACTGCCCGCCTCCGACGATGGCGAGATGCCAACCTCTTGTCCCTTCGAAGACAAAGCCTTTTCGGGAGCGCCCTCTCTTAGGCGATCGACATGTTGTCAGTGCTCCTGTCCTTGACGCAACCCCACGAGGAGACGGAGCGGGGGCACGGATAAGTTCTTCGCCTCCGGGGCCACACTTGCTACCCATGACCTGCTTCACCTGGAGCCTGCGATGAGCCGCAGCACACACGGGTATGCATCGAGCGCCGACCCCCTGCCATCCTGCATTGCGAAAATAACCTGAGCCCCAGACTCACATGATTCAATATTTCTGCTGATTTTTGTGTGAGTTGGATCGATTCGTAATGGTCCCCAGGGCCCGAAACCGAGCGAAAACACCCGCTGTGAAGAAACTGCAACGCCCTGATCTCAGGGTCGTCGACATCTGGCCGCGGGTCCTTCACTCTCTGCACAAGCATCGCCTTGTCCATGCCGCTCTGCGCCGCGCTGGCAATGAGGCCATCCACGGCGGAGCTCATGTCGAAGCCCATCGAGGCCATGGCGTCTGCTATGGGAGAACACCGTCTCGGTAGAGCCAAAATGGCCCTGAAGGGACGGGAGTTGAGTGGAGGACACATCCTGCAGTGAAATCGCAGGAGACTAAGGAGGAGAGGGCGGAGAAAGAGGATAGGAGGGGGGAGGAGGCGGAAGAGAAGGCGAAAAAAGACGAGGCGAAAGAAGAGGAGGCAAAGGAAGAAGAGAAAGAGCAGGAGCGGGAGGAGAAATGGATCCAATGATGTCAGGAGGAGGAGGTCCTATTCCTTCTCCTGATGTCCCGGGGTCGTCATCGTCGCCGTCGCCTTCATATTCTCCTACTCCTCCCCATACATCTTCTATTCCTCGTCATCCTCCCTCTGGGCTCAGCGAGGAGGACGAATGAGACATCGGGGACGACGGGCTGAGGACTTGGCAGGAGGCCACCGCGACATGGGACGGGCACGGCGGCTCGCGCGCCGCCGCTGCTGTTGCTGCTGCATCGTCTAGCCCGGCGGAACCAGAAGACCAGGAGCAGGTGTGCATAGGACGACTGCGCTACCCACTACTTCGGCGACTAGACAAAAATGTCCACAATCATCGCGGCAAGACGGAGGCACGACAACGTGCATCCAAACACTCTATAGCCCCCCGAAACGCAAGGTTGGCAGTGGCGCGCGCGAAGAAGCGCGCGATGGACAACATGTGGACAGTCACCTTTGGGCGTGGGGGATGGGGGACGTGACACCTTTCAGACAAAATGTCATCCGAAATCGCGTGATATGGTGTTCGCGCCATGGGTGCCTGGCCACCATCTCTCTCAATCCTCCTCGTTCCAAGCCTTGTTCCTCCTCCTCCTCATCATCCTCATGCTTCAGAAAAGAACACTGTGCACACGCACCGACCCCAGCCGTGCCCACCTTGGACCCGGTCAAGATCGGCTCATGTGCATAATTCTTTTCGCCCGACCTGCTGGCGCTGCTCGTTGTCGTTGGAGTTCGCTCCCCAGCCTCTCGTTCCTTCCCCTCGGCGGCCGAACAAGGACGCGGATTGAAACATTTCGGCTTTGACCTTAGGGGGGCGGCAGCCCCAAAAGGGCATGTGCGCTGTGGCGTGGCAAGGCTTCGGAGGTGGAGGAGGGTTTTGGTTGACCTCCATGGCCTCACCACATGAGCCCCCAGGACATTTGCACTCTGCATCTGTGGTAAATACAGAGAGCTGCTTCCAGCAGCACAAACAGGGCTCAACGCCAAACCTGAGACTGAAGAGAGACGCGGGCACAGCCTCGACGGAGGCCACCCACACATGAATATTATAAGAGAAGCTAACAAATCCTGTCAAGAACTGCGCAGCCAGCCTGCCCTAAGTCAAGAATTCATCTGTTGGGCCTACCTCTGCGCTCGCGGCAGAGAAAAGAGGTGGAAGAATGTTTTGTTTGGCTCGCGCGCGTCCTGCGCCGAAACCCGCGCTGCTCCAGCGGCGCATGGAGCGAGGCGCCCGTCGCCTCCCCTCCGTGCGTCGCCTGGCCCCCACGGGGCTCAAAGTAAAAACGCGAGCCCTTCCTCCACCCTGCCCCGCGAGGCGTGCAACTAGATGATGGCGGGAGATTGTCAACCTTCTTTACCGCCAGAAGCTCTGCGAGCTTCCTTTCGTTACCTCGCCTCTCATTGCAGCGACCTCGCCAGAAAATCTGCGCTGGTTCCCAACCATCATGTGATGTTGGGTCCTCGTTTTGAAGAGACTGCGCCCCGCGTTCCTTCCACCTTCCTCCTTCGTCATCCCTCTCCCTCCTCCCTCCGCTCATCCCTGCCTCTGCTCTCCGCATATACATGGCAGCACACCCATCGCACGCCTCATGGCCCCATAGGGAACTCCACCTAAGGCCTCAATGGAAAGGCTCGTATGGCACCGCGGCCAAAATTCCGACACGCCTCCCGCACGCGTCGTGGCTCCATAGGCAGTTCCACTCGAGGCCCCGGTGGCAGGGGTCGCACGGCACCGCCGCCCCATTTCGGCACACCCCTCACATGTTTCATGGCCCCATAAGCAGCTCCACATGAGGCCCCAGCGGGAGGGTTCGCAAGGCACCGCCGCCCCATGTCGGCACACCCCGCACACGCGTCGCGGCCCCATGGGCAGCTCCACCTGAGGCCCCAGTGGGAGAGTTCGCATGGCGCCGCCGCCCCGTGTCGCAACACCCTTCACGCTTGGTGGCCCCATAGGGGGGCTCCACGAGACCCCAGCGGGCATGGCATCGCCGCCCCGTGTCGGCATACCTCTCACACGCTTCGTGGCCTCATAGGGAGCTCTACCGAATGCCCCAGTGAGAGAGTTAGCATGGCACCGCCGCCCCATTTCGGCACACCCATCACACGTTTCGTTGCCGCATATGCAACTCCATCCAAAGCCCCAATGGGAAGGTTCGCATGTCACCGCCGCCCCATTAGGGCACACTCCGCACACGCTTCGCGGCCTCACGGGCAGCTCCACCTAAGGCCCCAGTGGGAGAGTTCGCATGACACCACCACCCCATTGCGGCACACCCCTTACACGCTTGGTCCCACAAGGAGCTCCATCTAAGGCTACAGCGGAAGGGTTCGCAAGCACCACCGCCCCATTTCGGCACACCACTCACACGCTTCGCTGCCTCATGGGCAGCTCGATATGAGGCCCCAGCGGGAAGGTTCGCATAGCACCGCCGCCCCATGTCGGCACACCCCTCAAACGCTTCGTGGCCCATCATAACGGAACTCCAGCTGAGGCCCCAGTGGGAGGGTTCGCATAACACCGCCGCCCCATTTCGGCACACCGCTCACACGCTTCGCGGCCTCGTATGCAGCTTCACCTCTGAGGCCCCAGTGGGAGGGGTCATATAGCACCGCCGCCCCATTTCGGCACATCCCTCACACGCTGCGTGGCTCCATGGGGAGCTTCACCTAAGGCCCCAGCTGGAGGGGTCGCATGGCACCGCCACACCCATCACACGCTTCGTGCCCGCCTAGGCAACTTCACCTGAGGCCCCAGTGGGACGGTTCGCATGGCACCGCCGCCCCATTTCGGCACGCCCCTAATCCGCATGGCGGCCCCGCCCCACCTCGGCACGCCCTTCACGCGCTTCGTGGCCCCATGAGGAAATCCACCGAAGACGACACTCACAACGACGGTACACACAACTGCATCTCCGCTCGTAGGTGACGTCGCGCCGCCAGGTGCCCCCCTCGAGGTTCATGTCGCTGACTCGGCGGTGCCTATGGCTGTGTCCTTCGCCTGGATATTGTCTCGAGTCTGGCTCGACTGGTGAACTGGTCTCGGCGCCCCGAGGCGCGGGCCCCTCCTCCATCCTGGCCCGCGGGGTGTACAACTCACGGAGTGGGCGGGACGGACCCTGAACGAATTGGCACTCTGCAGGCTGCACAAGAAGCCCGAGCCAGGATCGCGGAGCGAAAGAGAGAGAGAGAGAGAGAGAGAGAGAAAAAAAAAAAAAAAAAAACAAACAGAGAGAGAGAGAATAAACGACAAAACTGAACGAGAGGGGGGCGAGAAAATAAATGCGAAAAAGGCGATGTGGACAGTCGGTAGAGGCGCCGCCCAGCGCTTGCGGCTGGAGGTGCAGCGCGAGAGGTAGTGATGGACAGGAGGGGGCCTCGACGCGCGAGACAACGCGCGGTAGATCAGCAGGAGCGGGCCCCGAGCCCCGAGCCTGGCAGCGGCACTGGGGAGCCCGTGGACGGTGGGGGGGGCGCAGGTGGACGGCATCGCGGCAGTGATGCCACGAAGCCCGCGGGGCGGACCCCCGCGGGGCACCACTGGCAGAGGCCGAACGACTCCCTCGGACAGCTTGCCGGGCTGGAGCGAGGGGCGCGATGCGAGAGGTTGGCGTGAACGCGCCCAAGCGTCAGGGGCTCGAAGGCGGGCTCGACACCGTAGACCCATGGGGGCCCAGGGCAAGAGGTGCAGTCTTGGCGACCGCCCCCGGCAGCGAGCATGCCAAGGTCCGGGCGTTCGACGAGGAGGCTCGTTGTCGTGTCGAGGGGCCCTCCGAACCCGAAGCTGCAGTGCTCGTCGTCGGCCTCCGTGCGGGACTCCTCCCGGGCCGCCCCCGAGTCCTCGGGATGGAGGCCTGGGTGGAGGTTGTCGGCAGGGGGGGCGCAAGAGGTCTCCCGCCGACCGAGAAGCCGGGGCCCATGCGACGAGGCTCGCGCAACCAGCTTAGCGGTACGGGAGGGGGAGGGTGCGCGCCCGATGGTCGCAGATGTCCACCGCCGCGCCGTGGAGCACCGATCGACGGCTTCCACGACCACCGCTCGGAGGTCGCGCAGGTCAGCCGCGGGCGTGGCCCGCTCAGCAGCCCTGCGGTTGAAGCATTCGGCCGTGACCGAGAATTGCCCGGGCATCAATGCCAGCGCGGCCAAGTTGCGTTTCGCCCTGTTCGACGCGGAACATGCCCGGTTTTGCCAAGACGACGCGGTGTAGTCGGGCAGGTCCCTCTGGGAGCCAGCGGTATGGGGCCACTCGCCAGCCAGGAGAGCTCGGAACTGGTCGACCACAGCTTCAATGTCAACGAGTATGTGGACGGGGCACTCCACCGTGGATACGAAGGAGCGCCAGTGTTTCGCACGCTGGGCGCTCCTTCACAGCCCGTGCAACCTGGCAGCAGATTTTTTTTTAGCAAGCGCATCTTTGGGAGAGAGGAGGAGGAGGAGGAGGAGGAGGAGGAGGAGGAGGAGGAGGAGGAGGAGGAGGAGGAGGTGAAACGGGAAGGCGCGACGATCATGCATCCGATCCACTCGTCACTCTGTCCACCGCGAGCTTCAGGAATGGAGCATGGAGCGATGGTAATTAAACCAAAAACGTATCAGCGCCAGAAGGGAGGGGGGAGGCTTTCAACAAACGTTGGTGAGTCCTCCTCTCTCTCTCTCATTCTCTCTCTCTCTCTGCATATATACATATATGTTATGTATATTATTGTTTCCGCCTTCCTACATCCCTCCGCGAAACTTTACGCCAGTTGTTCCAGCGCCGCGTCGGCACCCCCAGACCACCAACTTTCA